TCCAAGCTCAGCCATTGATTCACACTAAACTGAGTTTATAAATATACCTAATGCTGATTTTTCTGTTTTGGGGCCAAGATCCTTTGCAGAATAGGGTGACAGTGTACATTACTCCATCTTCTTTGGGACCATAGATCATGAAACCTCAACTGAGCCCAGGGAGATTCTGACCTCATGGGCTCTATTTAAAGTAGGTGCCTTGGAATTGATGATGCTTGTTCTTTAGGACTTTTAAAACCCAATGATTGAAAGTCAAACAGAACCCAAAGACTACTCTGAAATGGATGTTTTGCTTATTACTAGAGTCATTTGTTTTTATTTTAGGATCCTTAGAATGTCAGTAATGACATTCTAATGGCCTGACTACTTCCGGTTTGGAGATGGGGAAGCTGAGGACTAAGCAGGGGGAAGCACAGGTAATGAGTGAAGGAGCTAGGATCAGAACTCGTCTTGTGACTCTCCATCCGGTCCTCTTTCTGCTTTTCGTGTTCTCTCTAGGGATGATGAAGAAATGTGGATGACTTAAAACTAGTTAAATCCAGGAACCTGACAAGGAATGATGATTCCTTCTTTATAAAAAGTTAAGCTTTAGGAAAGCTTTGCTTCTTACCTGGAAGGTGTAGCCCTAGATTCCCTTAGTGGATATGTGTGTGGAGTAGAAACTGAGATAATGCCTAGGAGTGAGGGGTCAGGAGGGCTGTTCGAGAATTCACAGAAGTAGCTGCATTTCTAGTTATGATAACACAAACAGCAATTATAATCTGATGGATCATCTTTATTACTATGAAGTGCTTTCACATTATATGAAGGTGGCAAGATGAATGTTATGCTTACCTCAGATGAGTCCCTCATTGGTAAACTATATTTCCCTGGACTATGTGTATGGGCAGAGCCAAACTTGAACCCAGTCTTTTTTCCACAAGCCTCCTACTATAATTCCAATTTATATATTTCTCAGAATGCTCTAACTCATTAACTAAGCTTCTTTTATGCTTCAAAGAAGCATATTTTCCCAACATTTGCCAGTGAGAAGTTGGAGGTCACAAAAATTTCTTTGAGTTTCAAAATAAATTTGTTCCTGAAGTTCTGCATTATTTCAAGCAATGAATAAAGAAATTCTTAGTTATGTTTGATCCTCCAGCAGCCATTTGTAGAACACTTATCTATGTGCACATAGTATTGTGTTGTAGAATACAGGGAACTATAAAATCAGAGCTACCTTCAGGAAATTGTGGTTGGATGAACAAAATTAAACATTTAGTAGAAGCATCAAAATGTGGCATGGGTCCTGAGGAGTCACCTAGATATCCAGAGCTCTAAGGTTTCAGGAGAAGGAAAGGTCGTTGTGGCTGAGAGTGGTCAGGGAACGGTGTGAAATTGTGGTTAGGTTTTGAGAAGGTCATGTTCTAATAGGTGGATAGCTTGAGAGTTGGTTCCGTTGCTTTCTCTTTGTCCTTTGGCAATACACTAAACTCCCTGGCTTGCTTTTTCCCATCTGGCCAATAGAATGTTGTGAACATAATGAACTTTTTGGGCCATTTCTGTTCTGAAATTCTGTCCTATGAAAAATACAACTGGCCTAAGAAAATAATCATGGATGTATTCAAAGATGAATATAATGCAGTCATTCATTGCAGCTTAATTTATAAAGACAAAAACAAAGACAAATAAATGAAACTCAAGGGAGATTGGTTAAATAAATTATGGAACAACAATATGTTGGAATATATAGTCATTATATAAAATGTTTTAGAAGAATATTTAGTGACAGAGAAATAGGCTCCTCAGATAATGAAAAGACCAGATTACAAATTACTACACTCTAAATCCTAATTTGTTTTTCTTTTTTAAAAAAAGAATGTTTGTATAGAAAATAATAGAAGGAAAAGTGTGTGAATAGTATATTTGGTGGGATATGAGAGAATTTTCTTTTTTATTTTCTATTCCAAATATGTAATTGCAATCTGATTATGTCCCTCACAAATGTTATTTTACAATTAATTAAAATGGTTTTCCCCTGAGTCTAGGGATTATGGATCCTTTTCCAGCCATTCCTATGTAGATGTCCTTGACAAGTCTTTTCCATGGGCCTCAGTTGAGAGGTCTCATGGAAAAGAGGCAAGAGAGTGTAGCAGGAGGCAGGAAAGTGGGTATCTATTTTTGTCTCAGTCATGAGTCAGCTTGATGACCTTCTGAATATCCTTGAGCCTTGGTTTCCTTCTTTGAAAAGGGGAGTTGGAGATCACAAAAAGTTTCTTTGAGTTTCAAAATAAATTTGTTCCTAAAGTTCTTTACTTTTGTGGAACCAGCTGAGAGGCCTGATTGGATTCTTGAGCCTGGCCTCCTTACTTTCTCTTTGGCTTCTCTGAATTCAGGCTCAGAGAGGCGATTTCTGCTGTTGATAGTTCAGGGTTGGAATGGAGTGGGAGCTTATTGATGGTGATGTGAGCTGGCAGGATGTAGAAAGCATATTAAACCACTAGAGGGAAGCATTGCTTGATTACGACCCCTTCCCACCTTGTTATTTGCTCTATCTGCAGGTGAAGAATATCCTTGATTTGTCTCCAGGTTTCAGATTCTAGGGTTCTAGAATTAAAAAAAGACTTTGAACATCACCCAGTAATATTCTCAATGTGTTGTAGGTGTGAGATGATAGATGTCAGGACAGGCAAGTGACCTACTTAAGTCATGCATTATTCTTTCAGGGTCTGCATTATAGGTGCAGAAGATAGCTACAGATAGAGCCAGCATATAATCATTTTTGTCCAGAAAGAGTGAACAGTTCCTAAGATTGGGTAGGAACCTAAGGGATCTAGCAGTATATACCTTAACTGACCTTGAGAGGCCTGGAGATAGAGAAGAAAAGATATAATCCTGACCCAAGGAGCTCTGGTAGGGAGAGCACATGTCAACATGGATGTGACTCTAGTATGTATTTTCCATGCCTGGTGTTCTTTCTGGTCTCAGATCCAGCTTGTGGTGGTAGCTTGGAGGCTGTTTAGGGAAGATCCTGCAGGTGATCTTAATGAATGATAGCCTTCAAGGTTAATGAGATTCCCTGGGCACACCCAGTTTGTTATTTCTAGTGAATTTCTTGCAAGCAGTGGTTGGCCTGTTTATATGACATGCCTTTACATTTCTTGAGGTTTGCAAGGAATGCTGACAGTTTTGTTTCCCACCTTCCAGAGACTTTGATACCTGGGCTGTGGGCTGACTTTATTTTTGGTTTGCAGGTGCCCACCAGACCTAAACATTGTGGTTGAGGGGAATTGTGCATTTCCTGGAAGTCAGGTAGCTGCATGACCTTGGGCAAGTTAATTCCTCTCTTTGGGCAGGGAGGTCAGTCTCTCAGCTGTAGTTGTGTCATCTCTGTCACAAGAGATGGAGATCTGGTGTTATTTTTGGCTTTTGTGTTTTGCCATGAATACCCATTGATCTGTGGTCTGGAGAAGTGCAAAGTATGTCTTACCTGAAACAGAAACAAGACTCACCCTTTGTGAAGTGGGTATGTTGGATAAGGGGCTTGTCCCAAGCCAAGTGCAGCAAGGTCTGGAGGGCCACCAGATGGCAGCAATGGGCAGGCAGACAGCCTTAGGGGAGGAGGTGAGTAGGGCCAGCATCCAGAGACTGTCTTAGCAAGGTCAGAGCTGAAAAGACCTCAATACCATATAGTGCTTTCTTGTGAGAAGAATTGAAATTGGTCTGGCCCTCAGTTTACTACCCCACCTAGGAGCTGGGAGACAAATCGGAACCTCTCTAGGTGAGCTAGAGATGGGATAGGAAGGACATTGTTCCTGATTTCCTTGAGGGTCTGATCCTAATGATTTCCACCCATTATCTTTTTAGCTTCCCTCTGCTCTGACCAACTCCTCACCCCTCCCTGTGGCCATTTGTTCCAGGTCAAGGCCTCCCATCAGGTTGTGCTGTGGATGGAATTGGGGGTCATCCTTCAGCCTGCACATCCAACTAGTAGGTAGGCTTAAAGCCTTGTCAGAGGCATGTTGCAGTAAGATGTGAGTTAACATAATTGGTTGAACAAACACAAAAATGTTTTTCATATTCCCAAGGGAGTCAGATTTGGGCAGGGGACAAATTTTTGGCAAACACTGTATATTACTGGTACTGCCACTTACAGATTTCCTCATTACCTTCTGAGGTAAAGTTCACTCCCTTGCATTCTGGATAATATTGAGGTTCAAAGAGGCCAAGTGGCTTCTCTAAAGTAACAGCTAGTTAAAGAAAGCTGATACTTGAACCCTACTGGTTTGATGTCAAAGCTCATACTCATTTAATTTCATCATGCTACCTCCCCTCAAAGTGACCTCACTGGAAATATAGCAAGTAACTGTATTATTTTTGACAGCTATAACAAAGATCCATGGACTGGGTGGCTTATAAACAACAGAAATTTATTTCTCACAGCCTAGAGAGTCTTTTTTTTTTTTTTTTTTTTGTACTGGGGACTGAACTCAGGGGCATTCAACAATTGAGCCACATCCCCAGCCCTTTTTTGTATATTATTTAGAGACAGTGTCTCACTGAATTGCTTAGGGCCTCACTAAGTTGCTGAGGCTGGCTTTGAACTTGCCTCCTGCCTCAGCCTCCTGAGCCACTGAGATTATAGGAGTGTGCCAATGTGATTACAGGTGGGTGCCTCAGCACCCGTCCTGGAGGGTCTTAATAAGAGCATTGTTAGATTTGGTTTCTGGTGAGGTCTTGCTTCCTGGTTCATAGTTGGCGATCTTCTCCCATATAGTGGAAGAGGGGAGGGAACTCTTTGGAGGCCATTTTATAAGAGCACACTTCCTGTTAATGAAGGCTGCACTCTTATGATCCAGTCAACTTCCAAAGACCCCACTCCCTTATACCATCAAATTGGGAGTTATAATTTCAACCTAACCTAACCCTAATTTTGGTAGGATACATTCAGTCTCTAACAGAGTCCTCTAAATTTTAGGGCAGAATGGAACAAATATTTTGTCTTTTTTCCCTGATGAAAGCTTGTAAGAAGTTCTGGTGGGCTGCTGAAGCAAAGGCCTTTGAAGCAGTGCCTGATGGAGCAGGTAATTATGGAGCGGGTTAGGGAGTGGTGGCTGGAAAAGCCCTCACAAAGAAGGTGAACACGTTCTCTTGATCTGTGTTCTAGCTCTTCTCTTTGGTAGGGATGCTGTTTCTCTGATTCCTACTTAGCTACTGCTTCCCTTCTGTTGATTTCTTCCCAAAGGCTTCCTCTCACAATCTACTCCCTACCCGATTTTCTTTTCTTTTTTTTTTTTTTTAATTTTTTTTTTTTTTTATTGGTTGTTCACAACATTACAAAGCTCTTGACATATCATATTTCATACATTAGATTGAAGTGGGTTATGAACTCCCAATTTTACCCCAAATGCAGATTGCAGAATCACGTCGGTTACACATCCACAATTTTACATAATGCCCAATTACTAATTGTTGTATTCTGCTACCTTTCCTATTATAGTCGTTTTCACTGCTTGAACTCATAGTGTCATTATTTATTGCTTATTTGCCATTCTCTCCTCATTGAGTGGGAGCCTTGTGCAGTTTTCATCTGTTTTACTGTTTCACTCAGCTCTGGATCTCCTGGCATAGAATAAAGGCTCAGTGAGTGCTGGTGGCATGAAATAGCTGGAGCTATTGGATGTGGAAACTATGTCATCTCTAGTAGCTGTGCTCAGGAGACCAGGCTTATGGCTCTGCCCTCTTCCCACCTTGCTGGAGAAGGCCAGGACAGAGAATCTCAAGGACAAAAATGTTTGATGATCCAATGTTTTAAGACAACATTGTCCCTGCCTGTCTGCAAGACCTTGCCTTGGGTCCTTGGCTTCCTTGTCTGTCTTCAATGAGTGGGGCCACCAGCCATGCTTTGAACTCACCAGATGGTTCTGGGAAGCGCTCAGAGGTCCCTGGCAGAGAGCTCAATTTCCATTCAAGAAATCCTCATCTTTCCTGGTGGAGATTGATTTGTTCTAGGAGCTCTCTAAAACTGAGCATTAAGTGACCAGCCTATAATTTTGCCATCACTTTTAGATTCTTGACAGATGACATTGTGCTTGCCCTTTCTCAGGGGACCTTGCCTGTCCTGCGGGAGCTTTCAATAATCATAGTGACAGCCAATTCCTTAAAGTGCTCTCAGTGTGTGCCAAAAGGAGAGTGGCCCATTTTGAGGAATCTGGGAAGAATCAGCTCTTTCTCAATCTGAGAGTGACTTTTACCTTACCAGGAAGCTTGATGTGGTCAAAAGAGCCCTGAAGATGGCTGGGGGCGTAGCTCAGTTGTAGAGCACTTGTACTAGGCCATAGGTTATCCCTATACTATAAACAAGCCCTGAAGAGCTAGTTTCTAGTTCTAATTTGACAATTTGTTGGCTATATCATCCTGAGCACCTCTCTGGGCCTGAATTTCCTCATCTGTAAAAGGAGAATCATAATCCCTAGTTTTTCTGCTTTGCAAAGGTATATTATATCATATACTCATTTACAATTCCTTCCTTCATTCCTTCTCCAATTTGTTTAGTAACTGTTGTTGCATAGGCAGAACTGAAAGGAGGGTATACCAGGCAGAAGGAATACTGTGAGCCAAGCTATAGAAGTAGGAAGTGTACCCTGTTGTAGCTTACTTGACCTGGGCCATATATGATGAGAATAGCCTGGAAACATCTGAGTTTAATGGGAGTGGGTCCTTGTGAATAGTGGAAGGAGCCACTGAAGGTTTCTGTGGGGGACAAAGTATGATAATCATGAAAAATGAAAGGGAGACCCTGACTCAGGGTGGCTCTTGCAGGCTTCTCTGTTGAAGGCTCATGCTTGCTTTCTACTCCAGGTCTCATCTCTGTGGCTGACATTGAGGTATTCTGGACTCAAGATGTAGCCCCTTCCTCCAGTGACTGGGTGACTGTTATAAATCCATGAGATGGGTGGGGACTAGAGTCATCTGGCTCATTGGTCTATCTTGTAGTCACTTAGCAAGCCATCATGTTACATTTCATCTTGAAGCATTTCTTCAGGGCCTAAAAAGGAGCAGCTTTGGGGCTTCTTCCTACACCTCCCTGACGAGATGGAGGTATGTGAGGAAGGGGTTAATTAATTTATTAAAGAGACACTGTGTGTCAGACATTTGGTCGGGGCTTTACAAACACTGACTATTGAATCCATATGGAAATTTTGTCAAGTAAGACTCACTCCCATATTTTATATAGGGAACTGAAGGCATATGAGTCATAGGCTCAATCCATCTAGTAACTTTGTACAATGTGAAATGAGGGTCAGTGTTACCTTGTTAACTGTGAGGGTGTGGAGACGATCAAATAAGGTCATGGATGTGAAAGCGCTTTGTAAACTGGAAAGTACTGTGTGCACGGGCAGGGTGTTACTAGTACTGCTCCCAGTTAAAAAATTTTTTTCTTTTTTAATGCAGTACTAGAGATGGATCTCCGGGTCTTGTGCATGCTAGACAAGTGCTTTATTACTGAGCTATTTCCCCAGTCCTTTTTAGATTTTATTTTGAGGCAGAATCTTACTTGGTTGCCTAGGCTGGCCTTAAATTTGTGATCCTCCTACCTTGATCTCCAGAATAGCTGGGATTACAGGCATATGCCACTGTAATCCTGACCAAATTCTTATTTTCAGTTTTAGTAGGGTTCTTCTGTGTGGGTTGCTAGAAGGTTCTGACCTTTAGTTTCTCCTCTATGTACCTTCTACTCCAGCTAGTCCTAGATTCAGTGGCTGTACTTATTACTTTTCTCTGTTAAACCCACAGATATGAAAGTACTGTTCATTTTTAGAAATTTAACCCTATAGTGCAAAATTAATATCAAGGTAAGCTTACTTTTTGTCATTTTGGTAAAATAATAATAAATCATGGAATTTAAATGCTTTAAGGAACCTTATCATCCTGATTTGAAGTTTGAGAACGTAGAAGCTCAGGGAGGGGAGATGATTTATTCCCATGGTCTCACTGATAAAGGATAATAGAAACAGTATTAGAACCCACTGGGTCCCTTGTCCATGGGCTTTCCACTGTCTCACATTGCCCTTTTAAACAGAGACTTAAAATGTTTTGTCTCCTTTATGGAGGAAAGATCCAGTTTAATAAATTTCATTATCCTAGCCCCTTTATGTAACAGGGCTGTTTCCGGGTCCTGGCAGATGGTCCATAGTAACAGTGCTTTGCTGATTTGGTTGGAGCTGAGCCTATGAGATGAAAACTCCTGAGTAGCAGATGCCTCTCCCAGTCCCTGGCCATGGAGAAGTCAGCCTCTCTAATGAAGGCATATAGCTTTACTTCTCATGCCTTTGGTGGGACTAGATGTGAACTCAGTGAGGATAGCCTTAAACTATATTAAGTCTTTACACAAGTCACACTGCTGGCTTGGAGATTCTTGGCAGGTGGCTTGCTAGTAAAGGGTGTCTATTCTAAGGTCTGAAAGTCAAATGGGAACAGGGAGCAGAACAGAATGGAAATTAGCAGATGTGGAAGGGAAAGACAGGTGTCTCACTGTGGCAGTGCCCTACAGATTCTTCTTTTACCATACCGTGAGGCCACAGATTGCCAAATGAGCCATCTGAATGAACCCTTGGTACTTGTCACACCACCCTTCAGTCTCCACAATGGACTTTGATTTCAAGCCTCTCCCAGCCCTGTACTTTGAAATCACTGGGACTCTTAAGTTTTCTGATTATCTTCCATTTCTTGATGAGTTCTTAGATATAATGAATTCTCCTCAGTTGCCTCCTTTGATGATACTTATTACTGTGTCTGCTGTGACAAGTCCCCAAACCACTGACAGTGGAATGGGCTCACCTCCACTGAGTCTTCTGTCTGTCAGCATCCTGATCAGTTATCACCCTTTCAGGGTCCCCAAATGTGAGGGCAAAAGAGTAGGAGGGGTACAGTGGGAATAGCTCTATTAGGACTGAAATAATCCCTTATACCTACCTCTCTTGAAGAATCTCGGACAATTTTCCAGGCGTGGGGTTAGAATAAATTTGAGAGGTCATGTTCCAAGAAATTTGCACTGGTAGACCACAAACTGTCATCCCAGGGTAGATAGTCTTCTTCCCCTCTTTGTTCTTGCCTCTAGGTGAATAAAGTTTGGGAGCAGTCTTTTTCTCTCCTATTCAAAAATTTAAATCATGATCTCTCATTTACTGAATGCTAATATTTTTGGAAATTGAGGATGCAAATGGTGTATCTAGGGGGATCTCTTGGGGTTTCAGAGGTGAGATCTTGGCTTCCTAACAACTGTTTATGTATGTGATGGCAGGCTGTACAGGATTCACTGGCTCAATGTGTACATTCTGTCCCTGCTCTTGCTCCTATGAGGCCTCAGTATGATCTGAAAGGGGAGCTGTGCTCTCATGGCCAGGTGCTGGGATTTTTACCAAAGGGCCACAAGCCGCTTGCTCCTTTCTGCAGGTCCAGACATGCTTGGGAACCGTGGCTTGTGCAGTCTCCCAAGTTAAATTCCCAGCTCCAGCCTTCAGCTTGGGCACCGTGAGTCATCATCATCAACGGAAACTGTGGCCTCACCAACAGCTGGGTGCAGTGCTTGGCCTTTTCTCACTCTCTCTTTCTCTGTTTCACAGTGATGGAAACTGCTGATGATCTCTTTTAATGGACACAATTAAAGCTATTATCTAGAGGTAGGGATGGCAATTCTAGGTGGAGAGAAGAGAACCTGGAAAAAGATGGAAGAAGCCATCCAAGAAGCCATCCCCTGGACGTAGGCAGTGAGGGCCAGTGTGGACCTCTACTGTCTGCAATTCCCTGCCAAGGACCCCAGGAAACCCCTTGGTAGTTGGGTAAGAAAGATAGCAGTGGAAGCTTAGACAGGTTTGACTGATAGTTTTCTACCAACCTAAGGATAGAAAGAGTGGCCTGGGTTCGTGTCTCTCTTTTTTTTTCTTTTTTAATTTTTTTTTTTTTTTTTAGTTATACATGACAATAGAATCTATTTTGATATAGTTAAACAAGCCTGGAATAGGTTCTTGTCTTAGCTTTGCTTCTAACATACTTTTGACCTTGGGTAAATAAATTTCTTTCC